TATTAGAAAATTAAAATATAAATTAATATATATTATAAAAATAATATATAATATTTTAATTATATCTTATAAAATCTTTTAATTATTTAATTTTGTTTCTTTCAATCTATTCTTCTTTCTTTTAGACCACTAATTCATCTTACGTAGATGTTAAGTTTAAAAATAAAATAAAATTTTATCATCCTGATTTTTTTAAAAGTATGTCAAATTTAAAGTTATTTATATAAATAATTTTATTTTAATTTTAAACAACTCATGTAAGACTTAAAAACAAAATATGATTTTTATTCGTATGCAAATTTTTGGTAGGAACTCAAAACACATTAAGTGCTTTGCCTTTTTTTTCTTTCTTCAACTCAAAAGTCAAAAGACAGAGACTAAAGAAAAGCCTACGAATTAAATTCGTTTGCCAAAGCATATTCCGTTGGAGGAGGGTGAAAAAGTTGGAAACTGAGAAAGTGGGTATTTGTAGCCGTTCAGATATCAGAAAAAGAGCCCATCACAGTTGAGTCAGCCATGCACCTGCACGCGTCATTACTTGTCAATGGAAATGAAACAATCATAACGTTGAGAGGGTAACCATCTCTCAAAAAAGGTAGCTCATGAGGTTGGAGAACCTCCTCCCTCCCTTATAAGATAGTTGTACTTTATGATACTTCACTTATCGGTACTTCACTCACTAACACTTTACTTAGTCTTCTTACCGGTCAGAACCCTCCAGTGATCAGAACCCTCCAGCGGTCAGAACTCTTTGAGGGTAGTTCTTCTCAAGTTGGTTAACTCTCAATCAAAGCACCATTGAAACAACCATAAGACTAAGAGGAGAATCATCCTCAAAAGCTAGCTCAAAAAATTAGAGAATCTCCTACCTTATAAGGCCTCTCTAATAAGAAGACCTCTCCAATTTGGGACCTCTTACAGGAAACTTGCAAGGAAGTGCCTCAAACCTTAACTATTTTCTTTGTTTTTTCCTCTTCTCACTAAAACATTATGCAAACAAATTCTTTCTCTCCACCTGTTAATCGTTAAACTGTTACTATTATTATTATTATTAATTACTGTATTAATAGATACTTTGCCAACCAAATTAAAGTTACCACGCGTCAAATCTTAACTCAAATTACGACGAATTGTAACTGTATTTGTACAACACGACTTAAAGTTATATATATTTACGTTAGAGAAAAGCCACAGAGACGATTAAAAAAAAATCCTTTGCATTTATTATTTTTTCTCTATATCCGTGAAAAATAAAATATATTGTATAATCTGATTACATCAATTTATTCCGTAATTTTTTATAATAGTCAACAATAAAAATAATAAATTAATTTTGTAATAATTGAAAATAAATTAAAAAAACTTTATAGATTCGCTTATATAAAAATCAATTTTTATTTATTAAAAAAATTATACTCATTCTTACTTTATAAATATTTATAAAAGAAATATTTAAATTCACTTGGACTATCTCTAATACTAGTTTTTACTTAAATTCTGAAAGTAAGAACTCAATATCATTATTTTATTCTTACACTGGCGAGATATGAGTCGACATTGGTCTGTATAATTTATTCTTTTACAAAGAATTCAATATATATATATATATATATATATATATATATATATATATATATATATATATATAATATAAAAAGAAGAGAAAAACAAATTTAAAAATATAATATATTAGGGAGACTCGTTAAAAATCAGTTAAATTTTCAAATCAAGTTTAGTATTAAAAAAGTAGTTATATATAAGACATTAATAGAGCACACACAAAATATATTAAGAAACAATTAATATGAATTCTAATAATGGACATGACCTAATATTACTTTCATCCATTCTCAACATCTCCCTCAATTCTACCTCTTACTTTCACCATACGCATCACCTATGATGACTAATCGTTTTAAACCAACTTATTTAATTACGTCTTAAAACTAAAAACGATATTTAAAAATAAAAATCAAAGATACCCTAATTCATTCAAACTATTTCGATTGCGCAAGAATCCACGGGTGGAATGTGCTTTAAGTATGAGTATATACCAAACTATCTACGGTCGTTAGAAAATCAGTTTTGTTAAACTATAGTCTCTATCACATTTATTTAATTTTTATATTGTTAACTAAAATTTCTAAAATAAAATAAATTATTTTTAAAATAACATATTAAAAACAATAATATCATGTCATGGATCAATATAAGAACCAATTTCTCTACATATTAATTTCATGATTTATGAAATCTTACAACTAAGAGAAGTTAGGAGAAATTCAAAAGCAATGAGACCGAAGATCAAATACTTGGAACATATATAAATGTATATCGAATCAACTGAAACTCATCTGAATGTTTTTCCTAGAACTAAAACATAGTAATAATTTTCTGACAGCAGAGAACTATTAATTATTGTTGAGTACAGAAGACGGGGTCATAAACTCAACTTAATTTCTGACCGCTGTGTATTTATTTAGTGCACCTGTTTCCTCTGACCTCCACGCCCATTGACTTTATCTTTCAGGACCACATGCACTTCAAAAACATAAATAAGAATATTTATTTTTAACTTTTTTTAATAGGTTAAGATTTTGATTAAGTTAATATCAATTTTAAGTATACCAAGAACAATAATAGTTGTTTAGACAATTCTTCTAATTCGACCTCAACTTCTTTAACCATTGATACAGTCAACTCATTCCAATAGAGGCAACCTCCCTCAAATGATTACATTCTTTTATTCTTAAAAATTGTTTTGGTATATATTAAAGAAAGGAGGAGGATTTTTAGCCTCAAATCCTAAACTATATCATAAGTTTTTTATCTATTAGAACAAACTCTCTATCAATCAATATTTTGAAAACTTTTTGGTTCAAATTTGGACTGCACTTTTGGCCGTTGCATTAGCAATAATGGAGTAGATTTAGGAGTAAAATAATACAAGGTGTACTTTCTTGAATTTTAAAAAATAATTCTCTCTTTAAATTGTCGTGGAAAAAAATAACTTTTAAATTAATTGATATTTTTAATTTTTAATAAAATATTATCACTTTACTTTTTATTTGTGCTCAAATAAATAAATGGTATCAATGTTTATATTTACAACATTAAGAAAGTGCATATATTAACAAATATAAAAGTAATGTATTTATTTAATAATGAATTATTTTAATCAAATTATTTAAAATATAAAAAAATAAATTACATTGTCAAACATATTAGTAACTTTTAAGGCTGACCAGTTGGCCATTAATGCTGATACCAAAACGCCTTTGTGCATTAATAAGCAGAGAAAGTCATTCAAACTTCTAAAAAATTGATGGAACTGGTGATATTCTGTCATTTTATTTTGTATACATTGGACAATTATGTTTCTAATTAATAGTATTAACAACTTTTGAATAACAAAAACTTCTCTAAATATGAAAAGCTATAAAAAAAAAAAGGAAGCATATCTATATACAATATTATATAGAGATTTTTTTTTAATAATGAATCTCTTTGTTGTTAACTGATTTGAAAGTTAAAAGTTTGTCAATATTTCTTTCCATTAGTTAATTGTTGTTTACGTGAACATAAATGAGAGGATGTAATCAGTAGACCTCAATACTCGTTCACACAAGTTCAATGAAAACAACAAATTGAAGAGAAAAATACTCACATCATGCAAAATTCGAAAATGCTCCTACTTCCCTTCTTTTCATGCCTAGCTAGTGGAGGCACTGGTGTCTTTGAAGCTGTACACTTTGTATTACAATCATATACTTACATAATGGATTAATGGATTAATGTCTTCACAATAATTCATTATATTGATTATTTTGAACTAACAAGAAAGACAGTTGAAAACTTAAAACTTGTTGAAATTTAAAAGCCAATTAGTAGTTCGAAAGTTAATAATTAATAATTAATATATGTTAAGTTAGCATATTACATTATAAATATTTGATAAGTTTATCTGTTTGATGTAATTGATGATCTACATGACAAATTTATCTGTTTAATATTCATTTTGTTTTCATTTTATGGCTGAGTTAATTTAAGCTAAAATAATTTATTTTGAAAAGTAATTCTTAATTCCTGAATGTTTTTATCTATAGATAGTTAAGCAATTGAATTTTGTAAGTTCAATTATTATATTTCTTTTCTCATTATATATTCTGGTATTAATCTTATATTATATCTGAAAATAGTTCAATCAAGCTTAAAATTCATAGTTTCTGAAAAACCATTAAAACATAATAGTTTATAAAAATACCTTAGTTTAAATATATATGTGTGTAAAGATTGATTGACTTTGAAGTTTTTTAAGCATATTAAGAAAAATTACTTTAAAATAGTACTATTATATTAAAGGTGATTTTTTCTAAAATAATTTAACTTTTTTATTAAATTCTATACTGACTAATTAAATATTTAAAAAGAGCAATATATATTAAAAGCAAAATAAATAATTTCAGTGTAAAATGAAAAATTTCTGACGTATTTGAAGACACGGAAAACGAATCAATCTGCAATAATTTTCTTACGTCTTTGTTTATGTCACAGCACATAACTGGTAATTTTCTTCTAATTATGTGTCCAGAAAGAAACGACCTTTATGATTAGGGGTTGGAATCTTCGTGGAACATAGTCGCAAGTGTCTTATTAGCAAGAGATGAAAAAACAAAACACAACAGAACAGGTAACGCTTGCACAGCATAATCTTATGTCACCGCGTATAAATCCACGCAAGCTATTACGCTCTCAGTCCAATCCAAAGACAAATTCAACAATAGTCAGTCAAAACGCGGTCTATATAAACCCCTCACACTTCTCACACCTCACAAATCCTCCACTGTTCTCTCCCTTTTCTTCTCCGTTACACAAACTCAGCAAAAACAATTACTAAGAAACACTGAGCCATTTGTGAAGGAACCGGCACACGTAAACTAAAGTTAAAGCGATATTAATCATTATCACTTCATAGGTTTCGTTTGCTCACCCAAAACAAAATGCCGAGAAAAGGAATGAGAAGCATTTTCTTCAAGCCATCACCTTCTCCTTCAACCTCCACCTCATCACTACCACCTCCCTCTCCTCTCCGCACTTTTTCAGACTCCTTAATGGAAGAAAACATACAAACCGCACACTCCCTCATAATTAAATGGGACGATTCAAATGTCACAACAACGCTTTTCAGCGGCACGCGCCAGGAGGCCAAACAGTACCTTAACGCCGTCAAGGGACTTCAATCCGCTATGCAGTACCTCGTCGCACAGGATTCCTCCTCCGCCACTCTTGTGCGCGCTCAGTTCCTCATGCAACTCGCCATGAAGACCCTCCAGAAAGAGTTCTACCAGATTCTTTCCTCCAACAGAGACCACCTTGATCCCGAATCCGTCTCCACGCGCTCTTCCATCGATTTCCGCAGCAGTTTCTCTGATTACGTCTCCGATTATGACGACGAAATCACAGTCTCCGAGGACGACTTCCGCGTCTCCGAGACCGAGCGTGTTTCCATGCTCGCCATGGAGGATTTGAAAGCCATCGCGGATTGCATGATTGCCTCCGGCTACGGCAAAGAGTGCGTTAAGGTATATATCATCATGAGAAAATCCATCGTCGACGAAGCGCTGTACCATCTCGGAGTGGAAAAACTGAGCTTCCCTCAGGTTCAGAAAATGGACTGGGAGGTTATCGAATTGAAGATCAAGAGCTGGTTGAAAGCTATTAAAGTCGCCGTTGGAACTCTCTTCCACGGCGAGAGGATCCTCTGCGACCACGTCTTCGCCTCGAATTCCGGAAAGAGGATTGCGGAATCGTGTTTCGCTGAAATCACCAGAGACGGCGCCCTATCGCTGTTCGGATTCCCGGAAATGGTGGCGAAGTACAAGAAAACGCCGGAGAAAATGTTCAAGATCTTGGATTTGTACGAAGCGATCTCTGACCGCTGGACTCAAATCGAATCCATATTCTCCTTCGAATCGACCTCTGTCATTCGCTCGCAGGCCGTTACTTCAATGGTGAAACTCGGCGAAGCAGTTAGAACGATGCTGACGGACTTCGAGACCGCTATTCAGAAGGACTCCTCCAAGAAAACGGTCCCTGGCGGTGGGGTCCACCCTCTCACCCGTTACGTGATGAACTACCTCACGTTCCTCGCCGATTACAGCGGCGTGTTGGTTGATATTATCCCCGATTTGCCGCAATCGCCGTTGCCCGAGACTTATTACCGCAGCCCCATGCGAGAGGAGAACGCGCCGGTTTCGGAGTTATCCGAGCGAATCGCGTGGCTCATACTCGTCGTGCTCTGCAAGCTCGACGGCAAAGCGGAACACTACAAGGACGTAGCACTTTCATATCTGTTTCTCGCTAATAACATGCAATACGTCGTCCTTAAGGTGCGCAGATCGAACCTTGGGCTCCTTCTCGGAGAGGAGTGGTTAGCGAAGCACGAGTCGAAGGTTAGAGAGTACGTGTCCAAGTACGAGCGCGTCGGGTGGAGCAAGGTGTTTGCATCGTTACCGGAAAATCCAGCGGCGGAGGTGACGGCAGAGCAGGCGAGGGCCTACTTCGTGAGGTTCGACGCTGTGTTTCATGAAACGTGTAGAAAACAGTCATCGTGGGCGGTGCCCGACCCGAAATTGCGAGAAGAAATCAAAGGCTCGATAGGTTCGAAGCTGGTGCAAAAGTACAACGAATTCTACGAGAAAAATCGGGTCGGATCAAAACCCGTTAGGGATTTCTTACCCGAAAATATTGGGAAATACTTGTCCAACATTTTGTGTGGGAACATTGGAGATTCGGGTAGTGTCTCATCATATTCTTCGTCAACGACGTCGTCTTCATCTCGCTCTAATCGACGGTGAACTTGATATTGTCGCCCATCAATGATGACGTCATATTTCCCCACCTTTTTTTTATATATTTTTCTCATTGTAGATTTAAATTAAACGTTAAGAAAACTGTCCTGAGAGAGTAGAATGAGGACAAGACAGATAATAATCCTATGTGAAACGTGTTCATGGATGCTACACCTTTTTTTTTTCATGATGGTATATTAATACTGCACTTTTTTTGTAGTAGTAGCAGTAGTTCAAAGAAGATCTTCATACATGTTTAGAAAAACTTTTATAGATAAAAAAAATGTTATTTCAATATTGGTTTGAACACTTCTTTATGTAGCACATATATTATCTCAAAATTCGAACTCACACCACACCAGGCTAAATTGTAACCCACTAAATAAATAAATAATAATAATATATATATATATATATATATATATATATATATATATATATAAATACGAATGAATAATTATGTAAAAGATTTTCAATAATTAAGCTCTTTATAATTTATTTTTAAGTACGTTATGGGAGCAAGGGGAATACCCAATTATTAAGAAATAATTATAATAAAAATGAGAAAACAAATTATTTATAAGATAATATGTAATAATAAGTGTAACTATTAAGAAAATAAGGTTATTTATCTCTATTTGTTGGATATTTTTGAATATTTTGAATAATATTAAATATTTCAAATTATAATGAATATTTCAACTATGTAACTAATATTTGGGTGGTTGATAGGTACATAAATACCTTAAACTTGAAGATTGAGTAAATTGTAAGTTTAATATTTTAATGACAATGAATGAGTGAAATTAAAGTTTATTACTTGACTTTTTAAGTTTTTTGACATCATGTTAAATAAGAAAAATTAATAATCACTTATATCGATCATTAATTTGAAAGATATTTGACTATTCACTTTCATGTATTTGAAGTGTCACTCCTATTTTTGGTGTGCACTATAACACTTCTTCATTTTTATTTTACCTTTACTTTGCATCATGAGAGAAAAAAAAATATTTTTCTGACCTTGCCTTTTAGATTTATTTCTACCATAGGTATTAAGTTACTCTCATTTCTTTTTATTTTAAATCATGTATTTTTCTTCTTCGATGGGTTGATCGAGTGTTGTCTCACTACTCGTGACGTGCATTCGATCAGTGGTAACTACATAGATTTTTTGGTGTCCTAAAGCATAAAGTGAGTTTGCTAAAGACAGGTGCTAAGGCGAGGGAGTGGGGTGGGGGGTGAATTTGTAGATATGCTTCTTTTGAAGATTAGGTGATTAGGTGCAAGGATAAATTTTCCTCAATTATTGATCTAGAGTATTATTAGGTCCTTAATGTGGTTCACCATTATGCTTCTAAGTTTACCCTTAGTTTCGTCCATAGAAAGCTTTTGTAAATCGTTTGATATTTTTTGAGCTTGTTCATGCACATTTGATGATCATTACTCCGCGTTCCCTTATTGATAAGGTTTATATGAAGCCACACATTGGTGGACAGGATTTTATTTTTGTCTACGGGTGTTTGTTTAAACAATTATAGATTTTATTGTCTTTTATTGACTTTGAATGCAAGATATTATCTATCCTTCTAGTAGCTTCAAGTAATTTCCACCCGAATAGTTTGGAATTTTTGAAAGTGTTTTAGATTTTTTTATTTTTATTTGAGTTTGAAGGTATTTGCTAACATATTCATGTACTTTTATCAATTAAAGTATGACTCAGAGATTTGTTGGATTTCTTTAAATGGGTCTTAACGTGGTGGATTATTCTTTCTGTATACCTCATCTTTAAAAAATTTCAATACTCACTTTTTTTCGAGTTAAGTGTAATCTCATTTGTTGGTATCGCGCATTGAAATGTTTGCGTTAACGACAAAAACCAAGAGGGGGGTGAATTGGTTTCTTATAAAAAAAATTATCCCTTTAAAAATTTTTCGCAAGATTTTACCGATTAAACGATAATATAAAAAATAAAGAGATAAGTGAAGAAGATTACACAAGTAATTTATACTGATTTGGATCAAAAGACCCTACATCCAGTTGTTAATCACTTTAAAAGAGGATTAACTCAGTCACTAAAATAACGGTTCTCAGATAAACATATTACAAGTAGAAAAGGATTAGAAAACACCTCTCTTGAGTCACATAAGAGATGAACACCTCCTTTGAAGCCACAAAGGATGAAGACAACTTTCCTAGAGACGGCACAACACTTAATCCACTGAGAATCCCACTCAATGATTCTTATCGCTTCTAGCCCACACTAGGTTTTCAAAACCCATTTTTCTTCCCTACTCAAAGTTCTCCTAGCAATCACAGCTCTTAACTTTTCTGAGTACGAAAAATGTTTGTCTGTTTTGTTAAGAGTATGAGAGTCCTTTAAATAGAATTTTAGGGTTTCTAATTTTAGGCATTTTGAAAATTAGGTCTGAAATTCAAAATTCAAATTCATAACTGACACAGATAATCGATTATCATAGAGCTAATATCAGAAAACCAAGTTTGTTCAGGATAATCGATTATCCTGAGTGATAATGGATTATTCCAGAGCCAATTTTGAATTTAAACTTATAACAACCATAGATAATCGATTATCATCAGTGATAATCAATTATTCCAGAGCTACTTTTATAAAACTTGAAGTTTATCTAGGATAATCGATTATCATCAGCAATAATTGATTATTCTAGTGCAACTTTTAGAAAACTAAAGTTTTATCCAGGATAATCGATTATCATCAACAATAATCGATTATCATCAGCAATAATCGATTATTCTAGTGCGACCTTGATAAGAATGAAGCTTTTGTGGACAGACTAAGTATTGGTTATCATGAACTCTATTTTTACAGACTCAAAATGATAAAACAGAGTTATTACAAGTAATTTCAAATGAATATAAGTCTTCTATCTTGAAGTCATTTGTTTTTGAATCATCATCAAAATCTTTAGTCATCATATCCTTACAATTTCAACATCATTGACTCGTCCAAGTCTCTATTATACTATCCAAATAACTACTCCTTTTTCTGTTAAATTGGACCATTATTGTGAAGTTAAAATTAGGAGTCAATCATTTGTTGTCCATCGAGGACAAGCTAACCATAGCCGCTCTAAAGGATATATCTCGTCCTATCAGTTTATCCATCCCTTATGTTGAGATAAGTAGCTTGGTTTAGTGGTAAGGATTCTCAATACATGAGCTTTGTACTTGAACGCTTTATGTTATATCTTACATTTGTGTGCTTGTTTCTTGATGAAGTAATGGGCTTAATTACCAGAAAATTTGTGTTAATGACATATTCCTTGTTATTGTGCTAATGCCTCAATCTTTTATTGTACCTCTAATGACATATTCCCTGCTATTGTGCAAAGATAGTCCTATGGATAAAGTAGATTATGTGTCAACCAATGCCCATGGCGTGAACTCGCCATGGCATGTAAAAGTGATAGCCAATAATGTGAACATCAATGGGGACTTCCCACCCACTTTTGATCAATACTTGTTGAAAGTTGCATGTCCTTATGCCTACTTGGACTCAACCGAGGTGATGGCTACTCGGATGGTGGAAAAATGTAGTAGAGGAAAATCATGAAGGAAGAGCAAGGTCAAGAACTAGACCAACAAAAGGCTTTTTTGTAATGTAAACTAGATAATCATGTGCACGGTTGAATTAGTGTAAACAAAATGTTAAATTTTTCTGATCATGTGCTCAATCTAGAAATGACATTGAAAGAGGTTGAGGCACGCAAGAAATGTCAGTTACGGGAGACCAATATGGAAAAAGATGAGTTAAAAGTAAAATTGGTCGAGGTGGAGTGAAGAAAAAGGAGGTCATGAGTAAGTATGAATTGGACTTATGTGTAACCGAGACAAAACTATTGAAATATACAAAAAAGATTTTCAAAATATTGTGCCGCAAGCTATCATGTATGTTGTGCTCACCATAACGTGTCATGCTTTGGCATTGAGAAAGAAGTAAGAGATGGGGAGTTGGTGGATGGATAATGTGAAATATTTGTTGATATTGTACTATATCACTGTTTTTTTATCTATGTAATTCACTGTAACTTAAAACTATTGCCTCTTTCACTATAACTATTATTTTGCATATTTTGTGTGCTAAACAATAGCATTTAATAAGAAAAGATAGGATTACATAATAAATAGTTGTGAATATTGATAAATAGTTAGGAAATAGTTTAATAAGGAAATGAATGTTGATAAAAAATGGAAATTAGCTCAAATGAAAAAATGACCAACTAAATATCCTTCATAAATGTATGTAGGATTCGTGCAAATAATTTATTATTAAATAAAATAATTCTCATATCATGGCTGAATAGTCATCATCATAACTTCATCTCTATCTATATGTTTGTGCATCTACTCATCATCTGAGTTTTTACTTTTTGTATGTGCTTGTAACTTGAGCCTCCATAATGTTCTATTTTTTTAGCTTACTAATGATTTGAGTATGTGGAAGAACTTAATTGTCATTAGACATGTGAAAATATAAAAAGTGAATCATATTAAATACTAAATATGTTGACCATAATAAATCGATGTAAATGGTATGAATATTAAAATATGCATAAATATCACAGGAAATCTTAAATAGGTTTGCCTAAATAGGTTGAGTGACCTCAATATGTACATACATAACATGTTATACATGTGACCTTAATAGGTTCATATCATAAGTAATATTTTATTGTGATATGTACAGGTTAGCCTAAATAAGCCTTAACACTTACTACACCTTGTATTAGTTGTAATGGGATTTTAAGTGGGTAACATTCCATGTTCGAGGCATAAGCTTCTTGAATAACTCTTCTAACATTGTTATTCAAAGAAGCATATATTCTATATGTATTTCTATAGATCCTTCATCATTACATATCATTATATGTACCAATATGCTGAAGCTAGGTTCAGATTAACCAATGGGCTTTAAGGTTAGATGATAAATACTGTATGTACCATTGGACTGAATTACAATAATT